TTAAATGCCTCCTACCCCTTACATTACAGTCTCTCACTGTATTCGTTCCCTGTGCTCACTTTGGACTAAGATAAAGCAGTGATGTAACTGCATTCTTCACATAAATGATGCTCTGTAATTTGGCTTTGAGGTGATGATGGTTTTGAACTTCCAGAAAAAGGGAGTTCTGCAGCAATGAAGTAATCATTGAACACACTTGTAAATAGTGTTGCTTTTTGAAGAAGATCAGTGGAAAGTACATTTAAATGGACGGTTGTATCAAACTGTTAGACCCAACTAGAATGGACCCACTAAAAGTATGGGTCTTACTGAGCCCCATCTTTTTAGTGTGCCCTCACTAGCTGGATTTACTATTGGATTCAGCCCTATATACTGTAGATTCAGCCATAGAGAAGATTTATTCTTCAATACATAGCATCAAATGCAAAAGTATTCCCAGTTGTGTTGTGAAGACCTAGTGACCTAATCTGCATTCCTACCAGCCCATCACTTTTTAAGACCTATGAAAATATAAACCTCCTAGAAGTAAGCTACATGGGCTATGTTACATGTAGCTTACTTACCTTCTTGGCCACAATCTGATTAGTTACACCAGCTGGAATAATTCAAATGATGTAAAATTTGCCTCTGAAATTGCCACAAGTCAAGAAGTCAGTGCATGTGTTTGTTATTGAGCAAATGTCTTAGGACTTTAGCAAGCAACGGCAAATACCCACAGTGACTTCTTAATTTGCCTCCAAAATTACATTGCACTGCTGTCAAAATATAGCTGGATTTTTGTAGAGATGCTAGTGAAGTTCTTAGATCATGGATTTGGAACAAACCTTAAAATCATATTTTAAAATGGAAGAATTGTTTTATAAGCTTCAAAATCCTCTCCACTGAGATTCAAATCCAATATAGGGAATAATTCTACTTTGCACTTCCATTTAACTCCAGTACCTTCCCCATCCTCTAAAACCATTCTCTCAAAATGAATATACCCTTCTATTTCCAACCCTTAAAATAATGTCTGGATCAGAAGTAGAAATTTTGGGGGAAAAGACAAGGAAATCGGCTTTATTTCCTTCTGTCACCATATCACTGTGGCTACAAGGGAGATGGTGTTCATGATACATTTAATTCTCCCAAGATCTCCTGCATTCGTGCCAAAATCATCATCACCTGCCATTGTTGCCTGCAGTCTTTGGCAATGTTAACAGAGGAAGAGGGTGGAAGGGGCAAACAATTCTCCCCACATACTTGAACATATGAATTACATGAGTTGCAGAGAAGTCTCCAGTGTGTAGCAGTCAGACATGTCATCTAATATCAACCCTGCCTCGCACACTGGCACCTTTCCCAAATTAATTTGGGATCACAGGACTAAGAGATCTCACAAGTTTAACTAAAAATTGTTCATATTCCCCTCCCATCATTCAGGGAAATTGAGTGGTGGAATAACGGGGTGGGGGCTTCAAATATTTATCCTTGCAAGTCTTTTCTACATTAGATGACATGGTTAAACAACATATTAATACACTGTAAGAACTGTGTAAAATGTGCACTGGCAAATTTCTCTTCATGTCACAATGTCAGGAAGTTAGACTAATTAGAACTCTTAAGGGGTATAGTCAGCCAATCAAGTTGCATCTCCAACACTCTGAAATTCAGCATGAGTTTCATAATTCTCATCATAGTTTATTATCTCACAGTGGGCCAGTAATAATTGAGACTATCTCTTAATTGCAACTTTCTGATGTGATGTGGAGATGAAAATGTAAATTTAAATATAGATTTGGAAACTGGTGAAGAGCATCCCTGAAATTAAGCAAGGAGAAGCTAGTTATTGTAATTACCCTGCAGCTATTTAAGTTATAATGTTACTATTCTATAGTAATTGAAAAAGCAAAATCATTTTCAATGACCTTTGTATTTTTAATTATAATCCTAATAAAAGGTTGAAAAGTGCATGTTTAACTTACAAAACTTGCAGCAAGTCAAGGGCAGTGCTATAGAGCTGTGTATTATAGTCCCGTGCTCCCACCTTGTTAATATGGAGCTATGGGAAATGAAAACTGCTATTTCATCTTTACTTTTCCTTTAAAAAAATCTTAAGGGTAAACTTGAAGACTGCTGCTCAGAAAGTGGTAGAAGAACATGACATATTCTTTTGGCTATTAGTATATGGGGTTCCCTCTGTTTTGTCCCTGGTCAAAGATTTACTTGAATAACAGGAAAGATGATCCAGAGTTTGAGGACTGAGTATCATCACTGTGCTGAGGATGGCCATCTCTGTTCTTTTCCCCAATGGATGCCAAGAAACCTGTAGGAGTTCTGTCTGGATCTAGTAAGGGACTAGAAGTGGGTAGATAAACTGTGGCCAAGCCCAGACAATGTCCTGCTATGTAGCAAACAAGTCAGCACAAACTTGGGAGTTGTTCTGGATGGGGTGGCACAACATGCCCTAAATATAGTGGCATTCCTTCTGAAGGATCAGTACCTGGTAGTATCCAGGTGTACCTTTGCCTAGCCTTAACTAGTGCAGATCAAGGGCCCATTGATTCATGCCTTAATTACTTCATCTGGAAGTTATTACTGTGCAAGATCTGTAGTGACTGACCTCTTCAGTGCCCAGTAAACTCAGGTGGCACAAAGCACAAGAAACAAGACTGTCACCTGGCCTTGCAGACTATGTAACATTGCACTTTAAACTGCTGCTGTAAGACTGTCACCTGGCCTTGCAGACTACGTATGTAACATTGCACTTTAAACTGCTGCTGCATTGTGTTCAGGTTTGTTTCCCTTTCCTTTTTCAAGGTAAAGAGCTTGGGGACAGTGCATCTGAAAGGCACTGAAAGGCTGCCTCCCTCCATTTAAGTACATCCACCATTTGTGTTCATCCTCCTGAGCTTCTGTTATGTCTCCTGTTTTGTAGAAAGAAGAGGTTGAAGGATATTCAAGCCAGGGCATTTTCACTGCCAACATCCTAACTTGAAAGCTGCCTCCCCTGGGAGGTCAAGCTACCTTCCTTGTTACTATGATTTACACAGCTGACTGAAGACAACATTATTCTTCTGAGCTTCTAAGAGCCAGTGTGATTCGCTATTGTCTTATTAACTCCTGGTTGTATTATGCAAGAAGTAGATTATGTCTTTATTCTTATTTATCTTATTTTATATTTGGGGTTCCCAACATATTCTGAATAAATACAGAAAGTAATGGGGAAAACATTATAGACGCAGAACACTTTTTAAAAAAGTCCTACTAGAATCGACAGAGAGACATTTGAAGTTCAGCACTGTTACATTTCAATTCATTTCTGTGGGAGAGCTGGATACATGCTTTAATCTTTCCCACTGAAATTGCTAAGATGTAAAAGTGTTTTAGTTCTGCTACTTGATTTCTATGATGATTAGCTTAAGGCCAAGAAGACTGTTTTCTCTGTCCTGGGTTTTACAGAGATTGGCTTGTAGTGTTATTAATTGTGTATGTTTTTCACAACAGACTATTGTCAGCATGAATATTTGTGAAACACGGATTCCATATTTGTGTGAACAGCCATTCACAGCAGGAACAACAATATACATTTACCCACAAGGACATTTTGTCTAACAAACCACAGGCAGCATACATCATTAACATGCCTTGAAATCAGTGCCTGAAACAGCAAGGCTTCGTCATTTATCGTTTCAGTGGATACTGATATAATTATCCGGCAGTTTCAGGAGATAGTGATTTGTTACAGGAATATGGTAGCTGAAAAGCCAGATGGGGTGAAGCTGAAAGTGGTGTTTTCTGCATTGCCTAAAAGCAATTCTCAAGTTTTTTCTGTTTGTTTTTGAGTAACTGGCTAGTGTTCAACCTTCAGGAATGATAATTTTTTCTTTAGATTTACTTTGTTCACCTAGGGTAGCATAACTAAGATGACATGTGAACCATAGTTGAAGATCACATAACTGAATTCCAGTAGTAAGCTGCAACTAGAGTAGGCCCACTGAATCAGTGGGGAATTCGATCAATCAGCTCTTCTTGTTGTGCTGTTGATTCAGTGGACCTACTAATTGCAACTTGTTACTGAATTTCAGCCCATGAATGATAATGTGGTGAAAAGTTGAAAAAAGCCAAATCAAGAAAAAAAATGTTTCCAAAGCCAAATGAAGCTAATGACATGAAGCAGAATAAAAAGAGAAGTGGCTGTTCTTGGAATAAAAGCATCCCAGAAATAACTACACATAGAAAAAAAGAACCCTAATTTTTGCCCTCTACATTAAATGTGAGAATACTTTTAGATGCAGATTAAAAGTGGCAGGCAGTGGGACTACTTATGTTTCTTGCACAAGAATGTGTATCCTTACTAGGCAGTTCAAAGATCATCCATGTTCACCATGTCTTCCTGGAATTAATAATCACTAGCCAAAACAGTAGCTTAATTAATTTCAATTTCCTTTCATGTTCTTGTTTTTAAAATCACAATTTGAATAAGACCTCCTTGTAGATTTCACTTGAATATTGTTCTGCCATGATTTAACTAGCTCTTTAAGATGGTCTCTGTTGCCTATTGTACTATATTGTGTTCCATATTCAGACATTTGAAGTAGAAGGAAAAGGAGAATACACCTAACTGTTGTTAAAAGCACTTTTGCATTAGAATATGCATGGGAATAGCATTTTTTTCAATACTTTATGCTGACTTTCTTCATCATCTAATTCTCTTTGAGAGTTCTAATGATGCAATCCTATGCATGTTTGCTCAGATGCAAGTTCCACTGTGTTCAGTGGGGTTCACTTACTAGTAAAGGTAAGACTGCAGCCTGGGTCACTTTGAAAAACAACATGTATATGCCTCTCTCCTTTTCAAAAAATACATGCACTGTATACAGTAAATGATGATGACTTGCAAGAGTGCACTTGCATCCAACATGTGATGACAGTCAATTACCTGGACAATTATTTGGTCTTGCATAATACATCTCTAATGTCAAGTAAATTAAAATTGTGTTTTCATTATATATTCCAAGCGCCCAGCCAGCCTCCAGGAAACATTGTCTGGAATGTCACAGACTCCAGGGTAGTACTGAATTGGGAGCAGGTGCATGCAATGGAAAATGAGTCGGAGGTAATTGGCTATAAGGTGAGTATAAGTAAGGTAGCAGTGATGTAGTATTGAATGCTTGCTAGAAGCAGACAATTTTGTATAAATACTAGGCACATCCGTTTTCACCTCAAGGGCGGCTTTTTTGCAACCCATATGATGAATTGTTCAGCTAAACAAACAAACAAGTGCCACATTTAACCTGCCATAATCTCACCATTATGTCAATCATATTCTCACAGCTATCTTAACAGTTGTAGAAAAACAGGCAGTGCTGGAAATTCACTGAACACAATGTATGTATACTGATCTAGATAGATAGCTTCTTTAACATGTACTGCTGCTGCTATGTTAATTTATGTGTTGCTTTTGAACATGGATGTGCCCAAAGCAATTCACAACAAAAGTACAGAAATACAGTAGTAGCATTACCTCTCAAAGCATCTTTCCAGTTCCTGTCAAATCAATTGCCAATTCATTTCGAAAAGTAATATAGCAATTCAAATATACGGCAGTCCATTTTACTGTATTCTTTCAATATTCCTTGTATATCTTCAACTATTTGGAAATATCAGCTCTTTACTTGAATCTCTATATTTATCTTAGTCCTATGTAGTAATTACTTTAGTATTTTGGATAGTCACATGTATTTCAATGAATGGTTATGATTGTATTGCAGTCCTTCGGGCATTTGGGAGCAATTCCTACTGATGAGACTTGCAACGAAATGTAACAAATTGTAGTGGTTGCATTTGCTCTTTCAGAAAATCTGCCAGCAATCTATTCTGTCTTCTGGGACAATATCAATTTACATTCCCCTATTGCCCAGTATTCCACTTTTCCCCACGAGGGTCAGTTAGCATACCATATGTGCTGAGCATTCTCTCACTTATTGGACTGTTTTAAGTCCCCTCCACATCTTAGAGCTTTTTCCCTGCAACTTTTGTCTACTACAAAAATTGCATGCCTTGCGGTTCCCCCAAACTGATTGATACCTCCCTCTTCTTTGCGGATGTTGCCATTTTGGTTGCATAGAATTGATACTTGCACCTGAGGAAAAGTAACTAGTAACTTAAATGCATTAAGAAATGCATAATTTCAGTGAGCCTTGTGTTACATCTTATGCTTGCATAATTGCCTATGTCTTCTGTATTACCTTTAAATCTTCACATTTGTACCTCACATTTCCGTCATTGGACTTGAAACATGGCATTCCAAACTAAGAGCTGGTGGCTTATCTAGGCCACCCATTAAATTTCATGGTTGAGCAGAGATCAGATTTTTCCTGTCCATATCCAACAATCTGCTACTTATACTACACTAGTTCCATTGGTGGAACAATATAAGTTCTCTACTGGTGTACAATAATGCCCACATGTGTTGGTGTAATGGTGGAATATATTTGGAATGTTCAAGAAGTAAATTAATCTATCAGAAAATCTCTCAAAAATGCCCATCTGCCAGAAAGGGAAAAGTAGTAGTAGTAGTCATATGCTGTCAAGTTGTTTCTGATTTATGGCAGCCCTACTAATTAATAATCTGTGAAATTTCATATCGTCAACAGCCCTGCTCAGATCTTGCAAAATAAAGCCAGTGACTTTCTTTATGGAGTCAAAACCCATGATACATAGATTTAAATCCAATCATTCATCACAACTGGAGTAGACACATCGAATCAATGGGACTTAACATACATTTTTAACTTAATCAGTTCCATCCATTCAATAGATCCACTATAGTTAAGACTAACAACAGGATTTATAAAATTTTAGGAAAATATGTCCTTATGCATATATCCTTATGCATAGTATATATTTGTCTCACTACAGTGTGTGAATAAATATATGTCTACTATTTTCTGAATGTGATCAGTACATCTTAAAGGTAAAGGTAAAGGTAAAGGTTCCCCTTGACAATTTTTGTCCAGTCGTGTTCGACTCTAAGGGGCGGTGCTCATCCCCGTTTCCAAGTCATAGAGCCAGCGTTTTGTCCGAAGACAATCTTCCAGGGTCACAGGGGCAGTGCAACTTAGACACAGAATACTGTTACCTAGCTCATCCTATATGATTGTGTTTTCCACATAGAGATTGTGCCAAACCATGATAATTCACTGGGAACAGCAGACTGGGAACATACAGGTGGTAGGGCTCAAAATAATGTCTTGCATGAAACCTCTATGCTACATCATTACTGTCCCCTCTCTTCTCATTGTTCTCCTTGCCTTATCCACTTCTGATTAGTAATGGAGTGGGAAATTATACATGCAGTAATCTGTCTGGTCTCAGTATGTGCAAGCATCTTCTCCTACAAACTTCAGTAAAACTAATGACAATGTTTTAGAGGACACAGAATAAATCTCTTGCATAGGAGGGAGATATTCTGGTACAAATCAGTTTTCAGCTTTTGCTTTCCCTACATTGTTTACTCTATCAAGCTGCTGACATAAAAATCTGAACTGCCCTAATCCAGTTCTGATTAACGGTGTTGTGACTCCCTTACATTATTATCCAAAACACTTCCCGATGAATTGTATCCTAAAATGAAGTTTATTGCCATGGTGCTCTCTGTGTTGTTAATAGATGGCATAAATATTTAAAAGGCTGCAAGAAATAAGCACTTAATTCCATGACCACATAATTACTTGCTGCATGGAGACCCAAAGACCACAGTTGCTTGCATTTTTTTATTTCCTTTGACATCCCATTCCAGATGTGTCTGTATTTATTGCTTTAAGTGCTTAAGCCATATAATAACAAGATATAAATTGAAGAATAATTCATACAGGGCACCATTACTGAGAAACTCAATAGAATATATTATACTTCTGTTATTGTAATTTATTTTTCCATTCTAGATTAAAGCTATGATAAATGTGTTTGATAAATACTATATATTCGGAGTGACTTCAATGATGCTAGGTTTTGTTTTGTTATTTGGCTTCCCTCTCTACCCTCACCATCTTTTAAGAACCATTTTTCCTCTTCCACTTCTAAATGACATTAAAATAGTGTGGTAGATTAAATAGCATTACTAATGTAATTGCTTTTGGTTTTTTCACCAGGTTTTATATTGGACAAGCAGTCAGAACCAGCTCAGTGTCCTGATCACAAACAGAACATCTGCAGAACTTCTTTTGCCTTTAAATGATGATTATATTATTGAAGTTAAAGCAGCCACTGATGGTGGAGATGGCATTAGCAGTGAGCAGATAAAAATACCTAAACTAGCAAGTATGTCTACTGGCACTGATGACCTCTGTTTTATCATAAATTCACTGCTCCATTTTTGGTGCTTTTTTAATCTCACCTACTCTCTTCAATGCCCTCTGTGCCACCCAGAAGCTACTACAGGGAAGTTTTCTACCCTTCAGACTCAGTTTTGATGCATGGGAGGCTACAACAAGGCGGGGGGGGGGAACCACTCCTACTCAGTTCCATTGGAAACCACAGTTCTGTCCACCATTGGATCCTGCCCAATGTACTTTCTCTTTAGAATGAGAATTGATGTGAGAATATTAATTAATAGAAGAAATTTGACTGATACTTTAACCTTAGGAAGGTGCTGGGCTGCTGTTTTCTAGAGTGGTATTATTGAGTGGTGTCTGGGTAACTCTATACATTAGCTAGAAGTTGGGAGTTCAGTTCCTCACTGTGTCTCCTGCAGGCAAAGCCAGCCTGGGTAGCCTTGGGCAAGCTGCACAGTCTTAGGGAACCCCCAGAAGAAGGGAATGTTAAACCACGGCTGAGTATTCTCTACTTGGAAAATCCTGGAAAGGATCACCATCAGTCAGACAGCATACAATTATTTTTTTTCTTATTATTAAATAACAGTATCTTCAAAATCTGAACGTTCAACTCAACACTCTAACAAAACATCTGGCGTTTAATAATTTTGACATGTGCATGCTGAAAGAAACCAAAAGAGAGGTTCTTGCAGTACATTTTGTTTTATATGACTTTTGGAGCTCCTTAAATTAAGAGTATAGACAACAAAGAGAGATGTAGCACCTTAAAGGCTAACTAGTTTTATTTGGCACCAGATTTGTGGACTGCCATATCCATGAAGGGTTACCTACATAGGCAGATATTTGTACAAATACTTGGGTGTGGTGAGGATGAAGGGGAAAAGAAATAGAAAAAGTACAAATACTGATTATTATTGTAACAGTAGTCATTTTAAAAACAGTCATTGGGCAAGGATGAAAACATTTTCGCATAAATAAGCAGATTCAGATAGGCAATGATCAAAGTCTTTGTGCAGTGCAAATATAAGAGCAGACCAAAAGATTGAACTCTGTTCAATGGGGATTGTAATCAAAACATCCAGAAGGCATAGATCTGCAAAAACTGTCTACAAATGTCTAATTAGTGGTCATTAAAGGAACAAAGCTGGTGATGCAGACATCTCTGTATCTGGGTCCCTTGTTGGGAGAAATGCGACATATAAATAAAACTATTACTACTACTACTACCCTGTTTTCCCGAAAATAAGACCTAACCTGAAAATAGACCCTAGTACAATTTTTCAGGATGCTCATAATATAAGCCCTACCCCAAAAATAAGCTCTAGTTAAGTGAAACCCTGCCCTCCACAATTGTGCAGCATTGTGCAGCAACCAGAAGATGACATGACTGTAAAATAAAATATCCCCTGAAAATAATCCCTAATGCATTTTTTTTTGAGCCAAAATTAATATAACACCATGTCTTATTTTTGGGGAAACACAGTACTGCTGCTGCTGCTGCTACTGCTACTACTACTACTACTACTACTACTACTACTACTACTACTACTACTACTACTACTAATAATA